TTTTGAGACGGAGTTTCACTCTTGTTACCCACGCTGGAGTGCAGTGGCACGGTCTTGGCTCACCGCAACCTCCGCCTCCTGGGTTCAAGCAATTCTCCTGCCTCAGCCTCTTGAGCAGCTGGGATTACAGGCAAGCGCCACCATGCCCAGCTAATTTTTGTATTTTTAGTAGAGACGGGGTTTCACCATATTGACCAGGATTGTCTCGATCTCTTGACCTCGTGATCCACCCGCCTCGGCCTCCCAAAGTGCTGGGATTATAGGCGTGAGCCACTGCCCGCGAGAGTTTTACATTCTATAATGAAAGACATTAGAGGAGATAGTATAAAACAAATATTGTCTGACCTGCACATAATTCAGTCCAAGAATAGCACACGTGTGGACTCTTATTCCATTACCAGTGAATGTTGCAGACTCTGCCTCCTGACATTGACTGTACCATGTCACTTTCCTCCTATTAAATCTTAAAGCCAGATAAGGGAAAAGTGTGAGCAAACATGGAAACTGAAAAAAAAAAATTGGGTGTTTCTAGGGGACAGTGAATGAGTAAACTGTTTTATCTTGAGCAAAGGTCTCCATGAAGGAGTAGGAGAGAAGGCAGGGGTGTTTGTAGCCATCATTTTGATTTCACTCTTCGATATCATTACTATTTGGTTGATGCATTTTTCTAGTCTATTTTGACTCCAAGGAAATAAATTTTTCTTTTGAATGTTTTTTAGCTGCAGAATTTTCATTTAATTTTTCATTTTTATTTTTATAATTTCTATTTTTCTATTGAGATTTCCCCATATTCATTCATTAAAGTCACTCTTCCCTTTAAAATTCTGAACATCCACACTTATGAGGCTATTTTAAAATCCTTGTTTGCTAATTCCAGTATCATGTCTTGGTCTGTTTCTACTGACTCTATTTACTCTTGCTTATGAGCTAGATTTGCCTACTTCTTAAAATATCTAGTAATTTTACATTGTGTGCTGGATACTGTGGAGGCTGTTTCTGAGAGTCTGGACTTTATTGCTTTCCTCAAGGAGTTGTAGATTTTATAGATTTATTGGTGGATAAGCTTGATCTTATTTAGTGTTTGTTTTAGGCTTGATTAAGTGATTCTGGCGTTTCCTTAATTCCATGGCTAGAGAAATCCTATTCTTAAGTCATGGTCTTTACTGGAATCTAAATGGAATGTTCAGGATGTTCAGCAATAACTCTTCACTCTACATAGTCAGAACTCCAAATTCTTCCAGTACATGTGATCTCTTGACTCTGTTCAGCTCTTTACCCTCCCCTCCCCATGGTGGTTCTCTGCTAGGCTTTAGCATTTGGCAAAAGATTTAAGATAACCCATATCCAGGATCACAAGCCTGCATTGTCTATTGTTCAATATCTGAAAAACAGTTACTTTACATATTTTGTTGTTTCATTTTTTTTTCATTTGCTTTGTTTAGTTTCACAGTAAGAGGGTGCTTTTACTCTTAAACAGTAAGAGGGTACTTTTACTCCCTCATTCCTGGAACAAGAGGTGTCTTACTTCTAAAACTCTTTTGTGACGCTGGTACTGCATAATCGGCTACCACGGGGCAAGCCAAATTCCCAAGAATAGCAATGCCTCTTTCTTTGAGATTCCAGCAGTTTCTTTTTTTTGCATTAATTTAGATAAACCAATTGTCACCCTTGGTTTACACCAATTGGAAACAAGTAATATGAGAGTTCTGCCCTATTGTCTGTCAGTCTGACAGTAACTAGGAGACTATTCCACTCTGAATGCCATACTTTTAGGGAAACATAGACCACCCAGAGCTCATCCAGAGGAGAATGGTTAGGATGTTGCAGGTAATCCATTTTGTTGTGGATCAATAAATAGAACTGGAGATATTTAGACTAATTTCTTTAATCTTAGTCTTTGTTTTATGAATTATTGTGATTGTTACCAGCCTTTATTCTGTCAGCAAAATACTTTTAGGGATAATTATTCTCTTCCTTGCTATTTCTAATTTATGTATTATGTACTTAATTATGGGGCTTCTCAGTTTTTGTCCTGAAAATTACAAATTCCTTTTCAGTTTTATTCCATTTTATGGTCTCCTCTTTGAGCTCTTCATTTTGTGAGTTAAATTCATATTAATTTACTCTGTGGTGTAAAATAATTGTAAAGAATTTCCTCCAATTCTTTGTGGCCTATCACCCAGGCTGACTTGTCCATTGAACACAGTCTGCCCAGTGTCTAACACCCCCAATACTTTTAGGGACCAGACCCAGGAAAATGTTTTAATTTTTATTTCTTTTAAAGGCAAAAAGTAAAGATAATAATATTAATCTATAATATTAAGTTCATATTGGATTACATTAAACAACGAAAATGAATCATAATTTTTTTTTTTTATGGAAGAAGCAGCTCATATAGACTAAAGTTCCTAGAAGCCACAAAAGTCATAGCATGACCCTGATTATCATCCCTAATAAAATTAACATAAATTCCTTGGTATCATTTATTACCTTTATCATAATTGAATTTTCCCAACTATGTGAACATTATTGTTTTACAGTTGGTTTGTGAGCCCAGGATCCAAATAAAGGATAACACATAAAATCTGATTGTCATGACTTTGAGTCTGTCATCTAGACTAGCCGTTCTTCCTTCTTAGCCAGATGCCGCTAACCTGTTGCAGATATTTGTTGAATTGTCCTAACCAGATTGGTTGTCCTACCACCTAGATCTGTGCGTTTGCTTCTTGTGGTGTCATGTACCTCTTTATTTTCTATGTTTCTTGTAATGGAAGTTAGTTCTGCAGGCTTAATGAATCCATGTGTAACTTCCGTGGCAAGGTCGTTTTACAGAAGGTGAAGTCTGCTTCATGCCTGTTCACAACGGAGTCTTCCAATGTCTGTTAACTCCAATTTTATTACTGCTAGCATTAATTGCATATAGGTGGTCATAGATAATTCAATGCATGAATATTGTTGCCCGAACATTTTTTTATTACTCTCTGAAAATGGTGACTTTTTAAGTTCATTTTTATCACAGCAGTTTTCTTCATTATATAGAACTATTTTGTTCTTCACAGTTCATACAGAAAAGTTTGGATAAATGCTTAGTTTTTCCTTTAAAATGCCAATGTTTATACTAAGCATTTGGTATACTTGTTGCTTTTATTGCTATCCAATATATTGTTTCCTTTTCTTGCTGTAAGGCTCAGAAGTAATAACAATCTAATGGCAATGAGTTGCCTGTAACTGGCATGTAGTCCTCTTAATACTGGTCTCCAGTGAAAGGAAATGGAATTCCTTAAAGGATAAGGAATCAACGTTCCTTGAAAGAATGGCTGATTCTGGGTCTAGCCCGGGAAATATATAAGAAGACCCTGGAATATGTTTCATGCCAGAAAGCTAGGATGTTAACAAAGAGTAATCGCTTGAGTCAAAAGAAAATAGGAGCTCTTATTAGCCAAAAATAGATCAACACAAACATAAAAAATAAAAACGATTAAAACAAGTTGACTCAGGCCAGGCACGGTGGCTCATACCTATAAATCCCAGCACTTTGGGAGGCCAAGGTGGGCAAATCACCTGAAGTCAGGAGTTTGAGGCCAGTCTGGGCAACATGGGGAAACCCCATCTCCACTAAAAATACAAAAATTATCTGGGTGTGGTGGCAGGAGCCTGTAATCCCCGCTACTTGAGAGGCTGAGGCAAGAAAATCGTTTGAATCAGGGAGGCAGATGTTGTAGTGAGCCAAGGTCGTGCCATTGGACTCCAGCCTGTATGACAGACTGAGACTCTGTCTTAAAAAAAAAAAACCCAAAACCAAAAACCAAACAAACAAAAAGAAATAAAAAAACAAAAAGAAAAACAAATTGTCTCTATGAGACCTCTGAGCTCACTGCTCACTGCAGAGAAAGGAGGAGGAATGGAAAAAGACAGAGAGAGAGATAGACACACACAAATAGAGATAAAGACAGAGACATAGAGAGAGAGAGAGAATAAAAAGTACATGCACATGCAATTATGCCATGTTTTAAGATGTTACCAAATTTCCCTTCCATAAGAGTTGCAGCATTTTGTATTCCTTCTGGGGATGTGTAAGAATTCCTGTTATCAAACAGGCTCACCATCTGAATAAATTATTGAATTTTAATAGCTGAGAAGTGGCATCTTGGTATAGTTTTAATTTGCACTTATCTTCTTATGAGCCATGTTAAGTAATTTTTCCCATGTTTAAGATTGACTTCCAATTATTTTCCTATGGAATCTCTACGCATATATTTTAAATTTTTTCAACAGATTGTTGGTCTATTCCCCCCTAAATTTGTAAGAACTAGTTGTATATTAGAGATAGTAGCTCTTTGTCCTTGATATAAGTTGCAAACCTATTTTCCCACTCCTTCATTTGTTTTTTGTCTGTGGTGTAGTCTTTTTTTTGCCATGCAAAAATTTTGGTCTACGGCCATACCACCCTGAATGTGCCTGATCTTATCTGATCTCAGAAGCTAAGCAGGGTTGGGCCTGGTTAGTACTTGGACAGGAGACTGACTGGGAATACCGGGTGCTGTGGGCTTTAAAAAAAAATGCTTTTATTTGTCTTTGATGTAGTTGAATTTACCAGTCTTTTAAAATTGTGTCATTATTAGATTTCTTTCCAGCTCACCTGAGAACGAGTTTTCCTGTTGAGCTACAGAATGAGCAATGGGTATTTTGTGCTCCTCTGAGAAAGAGAAGAGGTGTCACTGGTGGCCAGGAGTTGACCTGGTCTTATCTGCTGGGCCTTGGTGATGCTGTGAGTTGCCCGGGACCCACAGTAGGGTGTTGATGTTCTCTTATGAGCATAAACAATTTCATAGAATATCTGCTTCAGACCATATCACTTTGTGGCCATACTTATCAAGACACAAATAAGACACTTTCATAATCATGTCTGAGCTGAACAAAGCATGAACATTATTCATATCACACAAACGATCGATGTCTCCCTCTCTTAGCTAAGATGAATAACTGCTGTTTCTTCACCAACTACAACTTCAGTGTTCTCTACCAAGTACAGCTTTAACCCATTAAGGCTTTAATACAGGTTTACATCTTTCTCCATAAGATTTATTAAGATACCCCAGAATGCTAGAGTTACCCCCACTTCCTGACAATATCCAATTCAGAACAAAGCCCCATTTCCTCAAACCCCTCTCCCAGATTATTGCCTAACACAATCCCCAAATCCTCTATGTCTGTTCTGACACCCTCTTAGTGAGACACCCCACAGTTTTCTGTAGTGTGTATTCTCCCTCACTCAACCAGTAATAACTCACTTCTTCAACTGCAGGTGTGTTCCTGGTGGTCTTTGATCAGAGCACATTAACATCTCCACTTTTCCTCGTAGCCCAAGGAAATGGGGAGGCAGTAGAGAGAAAGGGCAGCTGAGGGGCTCTGAGCATTGGTTGGAATGCTTGGACGCAGATCACTCTTCTGGGTTTCGGTACCATGAGGGCCCCTGGGCATTGGTTTGCTTTCCTCATTACATGCGTATTGTTGACTTCTCTGACAGGAAGTGCACCACGATGTGCCTCCACCTTGTTTCTTGTTTCTCCCCAGCATCTGTTTCCACCAGTCACCAGCAAGGGGAGGAACGTATGAGGACACCCTTCAGTGTCAATTTGCTTCACTACGCTTTTGGGTGTGTTAGTAAAAATTCTCAGGATTTAGAGGTGGATGCAGAGGGTGGGGCTAGGGGATGGAACTGGAAGTTAGGAGCTAACAGCTATCCCTCTCTCTTTTGCTCCAGAATGTTCTTTTCCTTTCTCTCTTTGAGTCACCAGTTTCTTTCTTGTATTCTATGCCCCTTTCCTTGTTTTATTGCTGTCAGTCATTTCTTGTTGGCCTTTATAATTTTGTTAGCACCAGCATAGGAAACTCTACAATGTTGTTCCTTTCCAGTACCAAAGGCATCTCCTCTCCTCATCCCTGCCCTTCTCCTCCAGTTGAAAAAGATAAATAAACACTCTTTGTTGACAAATGTCTTTTTTCTTTTCTGCAGACTCTGCAAGTTCTCCCCTCAGTCTATGCTTTTGGAAACAAAAGTCCTCGTCCGTCCTTCAGGTGTGAGCCAGAGCCAGATTCCTGACGAAACGGAGCAAAGGTTAAGAAAAAAATACAATGAGAAATTCATAGTAAGAAATTATTTTGTTTTCATGTATTACTAAAATCATGTAACTTTTATCTTTGGTGGTAGTAGTAACGTGTGCTGATTCATTGTAGTTTGTTGCTCATGCCACTTGGTCATTGTCTCATGCTTATAGGCACCTCTCCTTAGTGTCACCCACTTCTTGGGGGAAAGTTCCATTTGTAAATAATTTTGTTGATGTGCTGAATAAAAATTGATTTCCTATGGTCTTAGTCTATTTTGTGCTGCTATAAGAGAACACCACAGACTGAGTAATTTATAAAGAGCAGAAATTTACTTTTTCACAATTTTGGAGGCTGGGAAGTCCAAAATCCAGGAGGCAGTGGGCTCATTGTCTGGTGAGTGTCTGGCCTCTGTTTCCAAGATGGTGCCTTGAAGGCTGCATCTAGCAGTGTGTTCTCACATGGCAGGAGACTGAAGGGTGAAAGGAGTCTAATTTCCTCCATCATGCCTTTTTCTAAGCACATCTAATCCTACTCTTGAAGGCAGAGCCCTCATAGCCCAATCACCTCTAAAGGCCCCACCTCTTAATACTATCACATTTGTACTATTTCAATTCTGGAAGGGATGCATTGAAACCATAGCAGATGCTCATGAAACTAGAAACTGGCTAATGCCAGAGAAAAAACCTGAGGATCTGGGAGGTCTTACTTGTGAATTTTATATGTCCCTTTCCCACGTGAAGATAAATCAGTTAATTGAAAGAAAAGAAAATAAAGAAAGATGGAGAATTGTGTCATGGGACAATGGACAGCAGTCAAAATATAACGGGTGAAAACAAAGTTCTAGTAAATGAGGATGATTGTGTCTTTAATGATACCTTGAAGCTCTAAGAGATCACTGAGTCTTGACTTCTATGTTAAGAAAGAAAACTGATGACCCATATTTAAACTAAGGCAGATGACATTTCTGCTCTACTCAGCACTCACCACTCAGCTAACAACAGTCATTATGGCTTCTTATGTTCCAGGCACTGGGCTAGGTACTTAAGGAAGATGGAGGGAGGAAATAAACATGTCTATAAGATGGTCTTTGGCCTCAAGCAGCTCACAGGGCAGAGAGACCCTGATAGAGTAGAGACTTCATGAAGAGTGGGGATGGGAAGGGCATTCTCTCCAGGTGCATCCCTGTCCCACCTCCCTGGAGACTTCCTCCACAGAACGCTACCTCTTACTGCGTTCCTGTCTCACTCTTTTCAGCTCTGTTTAGCAGGTGTTTCCTCAGAGGACCCTTGCTGCTGGCCTCTCCAGTGAAGTGAAAAGCCCTTCTCACTGGTGCTCGGGGCCCCTGTGTACCACCATCAGTGCACACAACATGGCATAGTAAAATGCCTGCTCTACGTGATTGTCTTTTCAACAGACTTTGAGCTCTGCTCATTGAAAAACCTCAGGACCTAGCACAAGATGTGGCCCCTAAATGTGAACTGAATGAACAAGTGGAATCACTGGTGGCTCTTTAGTTTGAAGAATAGAAAGCCCATGTAGGACAAAGGCGATTTGGAGAACTGTGAAGTCTGGCATGGACGCTGTCAGAAGGCAGAACTGAACAAATGGATGGACTTAGAAGACTGACTTTGGTTTCATATCAGGAATGATATCATAGAGCTCAATATGCACATAATAGGTTAGATGAGGAAGGAGGGAGTCCTTCATTAGGGTTTTAAGGGTGAATGCAAGAAATGCGAGGAGCTGCATTTCTGGCTCAGTTTGCTGATCAGTAAAATCCACTAGAAAGTGCGTGACAGGTTTCTTTTTCCTTATATTTGTCTTTTTTAAATACAGAAGTAATACCAGTCCACAGTGGAAAATTTGAAAAGTATATGGCGTTAAAAAGAGAAAAATAACGTCTGATAATCCAACAACAAGGTAAACTCTCTAAAATGTCTTTTCTCTTTTTAAATGAATATAGTTAAGCTAGAAATATAATTTTAAATTTATCTTGATGTTTTGCTCAACAACATATAAACATGTCTTATGTCATTATTTTAAGTTATGACTACTTTTAGTGATGATGATTAAAAGAACCATTTGTTTTTTCCATACTGTTCCCTGTTTTTAGATTTTTGGCTAGTGTCTAATTTTTCTGTTATAAATAACGCTGAGATGAACAGAATATGTAGATTTCTAATAACTTGCAGATGAATATCATATGAAAAGCATGAGCCAAAATTTTGCAGTCATAGTTACTCAATGCAGTTTTAAAGAAATTACTTTTATGTTGAGCATTCATTCCTAAATATGTTATAGGAAGTAAGAAGCACGCCTTACTCCTTAGAATTTTGTTTATAAATTAGTGATGAATTGGAAAGGGTGGCTTGCCCCTGGAATTCTCTGATAAGCATAGGTGATGAGGAAAATGAAGAAATCCAAGAATTCCTTTGTCTTTCCTTAAAAGTGGTCAGCTTTAAGTGCAGGGCAGGCGTGACCTCTAGCGGCCAAATAAAAAATAAATAAATACAGGAAATCCTCAGCCATGCATGTCACAATCACATGTCCCCTCTAGCGGCTAAAGTGGATAAATGCAACTTTTCTAATCACAATAGCGAATGTTGATTGTCTCATGAGATGAAGAACTGGGAGGAATGTTAGACATCACGCAGTTCAACTTCCTCATTTGCAAAGGAAATAAAACAAGGTTTAGAATAGGGAAGTGACTTGCTCAAGGCCACAAAGACGTTACAAACTGTGCTTAGAATAGAACTCTGGTTTCCTGATGCCCTGATTAATGTTTCCTGCTGGCTCAGCCCTAACCCAGACGTTGCAGATATGTCTCTGTTTTCTCCTCATCATAATCTTTGGACCTAGCGAGTGTGCATGTAGTGTTTGTATGGAGGTGGGGGGGAAGGTGTTAAAAGTTCTTCCTTGTGAACAATATGAGCCTCATAGAAATAATTTGCTACCCTCAAATGTGCACCACACAATTTCCCTAGCTACACTCTGCCTCTAACAGGCCCTTGGCTCAGTTTCTACTCCTGATATTGTTCTGGGACTGCCACACTCATAATCACTTGCTGCAGACTTGTATGGTGTTTCCTGTGGAGAATGACGCCAGCATCACCTCAGTAGGGCTGCTGATACCTTATTTTTACTGTGACTGCAGACAGGCTTCTCAGAGTCAGGCTCTCTCAAAATGAGGTGTGCATTTATTTCTCATACCTCTAGATGCTGAAAAGCTCATTGTGTAACTTCGTACCGGATGGCATCATACTGAAACAGACATCTAATTCAGTTATTTCATTCTTAACAAAGATTATTTTCTTGGGGTACTAACAAATCCTAATGGCATATTCCCCTGGCTGCAATGTCCTCTGGGAATAGCCAGCCTGAGATTCATTTTGGAGGCTCACAGACCCAAGTTCCTGCACAGAGTTGCAAGTCAGTCCTTGG